TTCATTTTCAGAAGGGTGGTGTGGAGGTGCCTCCTGCCCTGCACTGAGTACAGCCTGGGTGTCCAGGCACTGAGTCCTTTGAGAAGCTCTATGTCCCAGACCTCTGCCCACTGTTGAAACCAGTGCTCTAATGAATGTGGAGTCCACCTTCATTTTAAGGTCTTGGGCAAGTTCCTTGGGTCCTCCATCAACCGGAGAAGCCAGGACCTTGCAAGTCTTGCCTCTGCTTCCTGGATGTCCACAGCGGCAGCTTTCTGGGAACCCCATGAAGCCGGCTGCCCCCACTTTCTGTGCCCTGCACAAATTCTCCTAGACCTCAGCAGCTGAGGAGAGACCGAGGATTTGTCTGAATGTGGCTTGGCTTCCTCGTGCTAATCCCTCTCACAGCGGTGTGTTTGCTGTGACCTGTGGTCCCTGAGGAGGAGGTGGGGGTGTCGCCCAGGACCTGCTGCCACATCCCCTTGCTCTCTCCAAGGTGCTGGGCTGGGCCCTGACCAGGGGAGGGAGGGCAGGGACCAAGGGTTTCCTCCACATGGGTCCACACTGGCCCTAGTCAGGGTTTTAGGAGCCCTCCATGCCTTTTAAGAAACAAAGTTGTTTTGACTCAACCTGGACTCCCTCATAGTGGTTGGAAGAGAACTGGAGACCATTTCTTTTCAAACCTCTCTGCTTCTTGGTCTTCTCCACCACCAGGGCCTCCTTGGTGTGTTTTGCTCCATTTTACCTTGGGGATGGAGGGTGTACAGCTGTTGCATTCAGTTCTGCAGGAAAGGAAGTCCATCACCCAGGAAGGTGAATAACTGTGCATGAGCTCCAGGTGACACCAGCAGCTGTAGTGATAGCCTTTCTGGTGCAGGAGAGCGATAAGGTTGTGTTTCTCAGTCTTCAGTTCTCCAAATATCTCCCACAGTAGAGGTTCAGGCTTGTATTATCATGCCACTTCATTGGTTGGGAAGGATTTGGGTAGGCTCAAGTCTTACTCAGTGTCACCTAAGAGGTTGTGCACCAGAAGCACATGGTGTGTGTATGGCTGGGTGGCTAATTATCTGCAGAGGAATATTATTCCTTCATCTTGCTCCATCTTATCTCTCTGCATTGAAGCCCCTGTGCAGGACATGGAAATAACTGAGCCATATTTTCATGCTAGCTGATTGCTGCCCTGTCTCCACTCCCAAGCATGATAGCTGTGGGTGGAGGAGAGACCTCATGTCCCTAACTATGAGGGCTTTGGTGACAATACTGTTCTGAGCAGTCTTTTTTAGGCAGGCTTTAGAGAAGCTGTGTTCATCTCAAACAATCCAGTAAAGAGTCAGACAGAGCGCAGCCCAGGCAAGGCGAGCACAGTGACTCCAGGATGAGGCCGAGAGACAGGAAGATAATGTGGCTTCCAGTCCTCCACCCCACCGTTGGTGGGGGTTCCCTGCTAGCCCAAGACACAGCAGGGCTTTGAATTTAGGTTTGCTGCATCTGAGATTTGACACCTTGCAAGAGAGGAGAATGACTATTGCAAATAACTTTGGTGTTCCTTGGTGTGCATAACACTAATGGAACTGGTCTCTTCTGACAATAAGCTCCTTCAAAAACTTCCAGCTAGATGGGAATTAAAGCAAGCAAAGCACAACCTCGTGATGCAAAGGGTGATCTCATGCAATGTGGTGGAAGAACTCCAATTTCCATCCTTCCTTATCAGTGCTAGCTGCCTAAGGTTTTGTAAGAATTAACACAGCACATGGTGCCTGTGGATCTGAGTATGTTACAGAGTTTTTATAAACTCAGAAAGGGACCTTGCAAGGACTAGTTTGCACCACTCCCCTCCTGTTTAGAGACTGGACACATCTTACTTGATTCTTGTTCTGTCCTGCTACCTCTATTTTTCCCTTTCCCCAGCAGGTGAGTAGTTCTAGGAGGAGGAATATCATACTCTTATTTCACAATATGACTTCTAAAATGCTCATGTGAAGAGAAAACAATTGTTAAATAACCCTCCTGACTCCCAAATTGAATGTCAGGAGTTAGAAGGGCACAGAAACCTGTTCAAAGAGTCGTAAGCCATGCTGACCTAACTCCAGCTGTGATAGCTGCACTGAGGATAAACAAGGTGAGAACAAGCCACCTTCATCAACTCTTGGACAAGGCAAGGGCAAATGGAAGCCGTGGGGTCACCAGAATGGGATTTAGCCTTTTCTCAGTATTTAGTGTCAAACACACCAGTGACAGGATCGTAATATAAATGTTGGGAGACTTTTGCACTTTCCTTCAAGGGAGGGGTCATTATTGAAAGAGATAACTACCAGGCAGGTGAAGGACAGAAGGGGCAGCAGGTTGTGTTAGTGCATTAAAGTCAATGAGTTGAGCTTTCTGGGGGAGAAAAGGAGACTTGAGCAGAGGAGGTTCATCAGACAGGTGGATCCCAGGGGTTTGGACCCCTTTTTGGGTTGCTTGTGCTGTGTGATGGTTGTGTGGTTGTCGTGTTGGCTGGTTCTGATCCAAGCATCTGGTGAAAACGAAAGCTGAGGTTTGGCCATCTCCCTTTTTTCTTTCCCTTTTGCTGTAGACATTGTTCGCAGCGACATTGCCCTGGATAAGCAGAAAGGCTGTAAGATCGCCCAGCATCCTGACATAATGTTGGAGCTACAGAGGGAAAAGGCAGCTCAGATGCACTTGGTTTTGTTAAAGGAGCAGTTTTCAAACACATACAGCAACCTCACATTAACAGGTAAGGCTGCAAGACCAGCTGGGGCTAGTTCTTACTGACTCACAGGTGTGTTAAAACCCTCGGGTGCTTCACCTCTGTATGAATCAGCATCTCTCTGGCTGCCTCTGTTTCCTACCAAGATTACTGGGTGCTGGGAGGGAAAGGAGACCTGCAGGAACTCGTGGTGGACTCATAAGGCCTCTGCAGTTGGCACCTACGCAGACACTCCAGATTTGGTGCCCCTGGACAGAATGTTTCCTACAGTCTGACCTAAGCAGAATACCACGGCACGTGAAGTGCTGGAGAAATCTCTCTGCTAACCGTTCACGTCGATGGGGCTGCAGCAATTACTAAATTTGGAGTCCTTTAAGCTGTAGCTGAGTTTTTTTTCTTTCCAGAGCATGCACTTTGTGTGAACCCAGTAAATATTAAAGAGCAAATATAAAGGGATAATGGCCCAGACAGAGATGAGAGGATACTCTTTTTCTGGCAACTGTTTGTATTATCCAGGGAACAGAATCTCAAAGGATGGAGGAGACTGCCACATTTTGGATACACATTTAATGGTGCTTGTAAAGGACCGATGTCTTCAGGCATTGACTGGGCAGAAGGATGGGTTCCCAGCAGCCAGCAGTGTCCTTTCATAGCTGTTCTCCTTATCACTACAGCTGGATGAGCCACAGACGATGGGAAGGAGGAAGAGACTAATAAATCAAACAAGATCCCCTTCTCCTCTTGCCGGGTCCCTTTCCTGTGAAAGGCAGGGAGGCATCTGATTTTTATGGGAGAGAGGGCCCTTTGCTGTGGCTGGGGAGGAGATGGCAAGCTCCGTGGTGGCCCTCCCCTCCTGCTGGGCTGGGAGAGGCAAGCAGGGTCTGTGCACCCTCCCCTCCTCTGCTGCCAGCCCTAATTCAATGTCCAGCCCGTGCACAGCTCTGTGTCCTCTCCAGGGACAGCAGTGCAGTGAGCTCTGGGTCCCCTGGGGACTCAGCTCTGCTGGAGCTTTTGGGGATCCCCCAGGGGCGGGAGGGCAGTATCAGGTCTGGCAGAGGGCTCAGCCCTGGGGGGCCGTGGGCATCGGGACCAGGAGCATTGCTGAATCGCATCATTCCTGAAAGCCCAGCATTTAAATGGGATCCTCAGAGCCGTTTCTCATTCTCTGTAACGTAATCCACTTGGCTGTTTATTCCCAGTACAACTGCTGGAATCAACATTGTCAGCTTTTCCCCTGACAACTTGCTTACTTTCCACTAAACAAACTTCCCTTGAGAAGAGAAGCTGCTCTCCCCTGTCCTCCTTCCCTCGCTGCTTCAAAAGCTCTCCAGCATTGCTCACATATTTTACAGAACCTGCAGAGCAGAGGTGCTACCTGGTTATCAGCTCAGCTCTTAGCCTTTCCAAGTGTGTTTACAAGATAGTTCAGAAGGTTTTAGCTCTAACTCTCCAGGGGGGAGACAGCAATTTCACCAGAATATTACCCAAAGAACTATTTTAATGTCCTTTAACTCCCTTTGAATGTGAGCAGAGCAACTTCATAATTGTTATGAAGTTTAATCTTTTATTTCATAGGCGTAGACTGAGAACATGGACTCTAGACAGCTAAGCATAATATTTAACTGGAACTCTACTAACTTGTGTAAATATTTCCCTTCTCTGTGATGGATCTGGTGTTTGGGGTGGGCAGAGGGGGTTGTACATCTGTTGCAGAAGGGCATTCCTTACCTTCAAAATTCAATCAGCCAGAGTTTGCTTGAGGACTTCTTTTTGCTCTGCACAATGTTTCTGTACAGTGCTGGAGGGAGTCCCCGGATCAGCAGCAAGGTCCGTGGGGCGAGGTTCAGGAGCAAGGATCCAGACCTGTTTTGGGGAGGGATAGCGAGGGACTGAGTTTGCAGGGATGGAATATCCAGGGGATCCCTGACAATGGGATTTCTTTCCTCCCTGGAGTTCTGTAGCCAGGAGTTACTTGGCGTCATGCAGTGCGTTTACTCTGAGTGCTCAGTCTCCAGCCCAGACTGGAGGAACATTCAACCCCACACCTCTGAGGGGTCCTACTACTGCTAATTCCTGCAGCACTTTAGTTATATCAAGGAAATGTAAATGGAATGTCTTGCCCAAAGTCATGTGGAAATAAAGGTGCTTTACGATGGGATAGCTAGTCTAGGAGAGCTTGGAAGTGGGAATACCACTGTGAGGCTTCCTTATTCTGGTGCTACTACTGCTACCACTATAGTGATGTGGATAAAAAGTCCTCTTCTCTTCCTCCTCCTCCCAGATGACACAGTCACACAAGCAGCTCGAAAGACTATCGATCAGGCCTCCCACACTGCCTGCAAGTGTGGGCAAGTGATACTGCCATCAAACTTCCATGCAGTGTCCTGATGGCCTGAAGAATGAAAGCCCTTGGAGTGCAAGGAGTGTGATTCTGCAGTCCCTGGGGCATCCATGTAAATCAGGAGCTTTTTCAAATCTATTCACCAGTTGCATATGGGTCCCAGTGTGCTCCTTATCTCAGCGATCTGGCAGGGTTGTGGTTTTGCACTGGGATTTAAGCTGCTCCCAGCAGCAGGTACCTCCAAGGTAAGAGGGCGTCTTAAAATGAAATGTGTTTTCTTGTGCTAAGACACAACTGAGACTGAGTGAAACCAGGCCGTCTCTCTGGCTCTCGTTCCTCCAGGAACACATGTTAGACTGGCTTAGGCCACTTCGGTTTCTGTAGAGCTTTCCTCGGCTCCTGTCTGCAGGCTTTCTCTTGCATTTGCTTTCTGTGCCTGCTCTTTCTAGGCTGCCCCAGCTTGCCTCTCTGAGATGAGTGATAGTCTTTGATCTGTGACAGTGCTATTTAAAAGCTGTAAAACATTTTGAGGCTTATTAATCTTTGCTGCTTCCTCCTTGGTGCTCAGAGATGGGTATCTCCTTTCACAGATCAGCATCTCTGACGCTCTGGGGTGAGCCCGTGGTAGAGCAGGGGGTGAGGGCACAGCATCGCCTGCTCCCCTCTGGGAACTGGTTTGCTCAGCTCAGCCCACAGTGGGATAGAGGAGGAGGAATCTTTCTATTAGAAACACTTCTTTTCTTCTTCCCAGTCAAGTTAGGTGGAGCAAGTGGTGATTCTTTTATGGCTCGTATCAGCAGGAGTAGAAGTTACAATGGTCACAGCAGGCTCCTCTCCTCAGCATCCCCTGGGAGGAATGTCCAGGTGACAGAAAGGTGATGCTGGAGCCTGGAGCTAAGGGTGAATACGCAGCGTTGGGCTGGCAGCAGGTGAGGTGTGAAGAGCTGCCCGGGGTGGTGGAGACCCAACATACATGCAGGTTGTATGGAATGAGGTTGTGGAGAGCGGGACAGCAGCGGGCAGAGCTCTGCTGGACTAAATCTGAAACCCTCCCTCTGTGGTGCCAGTTTGGGCTGAGTTCATGTACTGCCTTGTACTGTACGAGAGTGGGTATCCACGGGCTTTGGCACTGTTATTAGTAAAGCCTGTTAAGCCTGATAGAACAGGGAATTATTCACATCAATAGACACATGTGAAAAACAGTCCCCTCCTGTATTGAAGTATTAAGTGTAACTGAGCTTCCCAAGATACAAGGACAAACCCTAAGCTTGTTTTCAAGAGTTCTCATCCTGAGAAAACAAAATAGTGCCCCACTTCTCATTCTGAAAAGTGAAAAAAATATCTTTCTTCTTTCTTCTCTACCTTCTCCTTGAAGCTACAGTGCAGATTACTCCTCTGCATCAGGAGATGTGATGACACCTCCCCAGCCTGTCCCACCACACACCCTGCGCTCTCCTCACCAGCTCTTCAGTGCAGTTGTGGTGTGGTGGGAGCCCTCCACCCTGTCACATCATGCCACACAGCCTCTGAAACAGCGGTTATGGGAGGAGACCCTCCCCACAGAGTACTTAATGCTCCCAGTTGCTCCTCTGAGGTCCCACCCTGCTGAGGGTGTTTAGCATGAAGTTTCTTCCAGGTACACTGAGAGACAACAGGGGGATTAAAATCAAGTGGGAGCTGCTGGGAACAGCTGCTGAAGAGGGCATTTCCCTGGCTGCATCCAACATGGCAATGGGGTGTTTTACATTGGCATTCCATTGCCTCTGTTAGGGTCATCTAATAACATAAACTCTGCCATAACAGCAGTTGTGAGCTCTTTGTGAGGCTTTCCTCATAAAGGGCCACTTCTGGAGATTCTAGCAACAAGGCAGAGACCCTCTTCATCCCAGGTAAGCGGGATGGGTGCGTGAGGTGGTGGTGATGGATGGTACGTGTCAGCTTTTCCCAAGTGGGGGTGCACGATGGTGGCAGGAGTGGGGAGAAAAGCAGATCATGCAGGAGCAGAAACGTGTGTGGCCACTGCAGAGCAATTATGCACAGGGGTAGCACGGAGCGAGGGTAATGGCAGTGTGTCTGCGTGAAGAGCTTGCAAGGGAGAAGCTGCCCCCCAGAAATTTGCTTTTCTCCTCTCCTCTGAAGGCGTGGGGAGCTGCAGTCGTGCTTGTTCTTGGCAGGGAATCACACGGCTCAGGGTGAGCACCTGTGACATTTGTGTTTCCTGCACTTGTGAACCTCCCCCAGTGGTTTTGTGATTTCTGCTGAACGCTGGGGGGGTTGTGAGATGGTGGTCCTGGCGTAAGAGGTGTCTGCAGGGCCCAGAACACGTCCCGTGGTGTGCCGGGTCTGGAGGGGGCCATGGCTCAGGGGCTGCCCTTGTGAGGGGGTCTGTGTGCGGAGGGTTTTGGTTCTGGTGCCTGTGCTGCCTGGCAGAAAGGCTGTTCTGCTTGGTTTTGCCTGAATTTTCTCCAGAGAGAGATGGTTTTATCTCCCGTTACAGCTAATTCCATGGGGCTGGCGGGGCGACCACCGTCTGAGATGGGACCTGGGGGGGTTGTCACAGGGGTAAGCGCAGCTTCCTTCCCTTTTTTGGCACCTTATTTGGGATAAGCAGCCTAAAGGTCCTGTGGTCCCTACAGCAGTGATACCTCTCCTAGCTGTCTTACTGGGTGCTGCGCTGGGGTGGTCC